TATATATATATCTTTCGCGACAAAAGGAATTGCTTTTCTCTGAAATTTTAATCCAAAACAAAAAAATTAATAAAAATTAATTCTTCTTTGGTACTTCTCGCTTTTCACGTATCTTCCAATTAGTGAAGCCATGAATGAAAACATTACCAACGCAAACGGTAAGTTGTCCAGTAAAGTGACAATTTTGGTTGGATGATATAGGTGGTATATGGAATTTTCACACTCTCAGATAAATGAAAAACGTACTTTGTGTTATACGTCACATTTTCTTTTCACATTATGATAAAAGACATAACAAAATTCTCGACAAGTACGGTATTATTTGTGTTTTTCTAACTTTTAGGCTGTTGTTAATTTTTCCAGCTTTCCAGCTATTTACGTATATTTTTCCATCTTTTTTGGCCATTTCTTGTGTTTTTTCAGCTTTCTCGTGTTTTTCTAACTCCTTGAATATTTTTCGTATTTTCACAGCTTTTTAGAGGAGATGGTTTACATTTTCCTAAAGAACGGTACGTTTGATAAAGTACTTTATAAAAGGCCCGTTTATGGCGTTAAAGACTTCACTTTTCATTTTATATTTTGCTATCTTTCAACATTCCTCCCGATTACTTTACAAAAATATCTTTTTTCTATTTTTGCACATTTATCTTTTTTTTTGAATTTCTTTCTTTTTTGCTATTTTCTAGATATTTCCAGATTTTTAGTTTTGTATGCAATCTCTGAGAATGTCTTGCAATTTGCGCAAAAATAGAAAAAGATATTTCATCGATATTTCTTAATTAGTCATTTACATTAGCTGCAGCATAACTCATTGAATTCCATATTTATCCCAAAGATTAGTATATCAACATTATATTAAACGTTGATATACTAATCTCATTTGGAACAAAATGATATCAAAAACATGAAAAATTTGCTACTTATAGAAAATACTGTACATCTAAGCTTACTTCTACTTCTCAATTAATTTTTTCTTGAATCCTTTGTATGCACCGACAGTTATTCTCACCAATCATTTCAATACAATAATCTCTTATTACTCTGTAAACTCAGCAAAAAAAGTATTCCTAATCGCTGAGCTATGTGTAATTAGTTACGGTAATTCCATGCATGTATATTAACTGATTGTTTCGCTTATTTCTTACACATACACTTAATATCTTCCATTAATGAAGGCAAATATCAGTTAATCATAGTAATGAATTTTGAAATACAGAAGTGTACAAGTCCCATGAAGTGACATGAATTGGATTATGATAACGCTTTTCATCATATTCGCCAATATAATTACTGTTGCAAATGGTAAGTTGCTCAATAAAATGACACGTCAGTTGCGTAAGCACGAAATATCATCGCTGAAGATATAATGAACATGACGGTTGACACTTCAGATCATACTACATCTTAATCATTATATGTCATTTCAATCCTAAACTGTCGAGTAGCATCTATTGAAATTCAATAGTGGCATATATTGAATTTCACAGAAGCTCTCACAAGAAATAAGCAAATGAAGAGACTAAATTGAAGATAATACAAATTTTTACTTGAAGATTTAGTAACATTGTATTTGAATAAATTGCAAAGAAATAACCACCAAATCGATGTTGAACATATCTTCAGGTTGTAGTCTATTTCAGGTTACGTTCGTGGATGTTACTATATTAGTTGGGCTGAACGTCAACAAGGTTCAGTGACGTTTGAAATAATTTCATTATTAAAGAGCTAAATAGTTTCAAGGGGATTGTGTACAAATTTTCGAATAAAAAGTAGAAAACCAATGAAATTATTTCAAGATTTCCATCTCAAAAATGAATTTTAAGCCCACGAAATATTAGTGGAAAATAAACATCAATAATTAGCAACTTCAACTTCCAACATAAACTCAATATTCCCTCATTTCCTGAATTCTCATCGTTTCGACGTGTGCCTTAGCTACCGTAAACTAATATGGTGAAAATAATAACTAAACAAATTAAAATAAAACAAGCATTGTATTTCTGCCGGAAATGTAATATACATTTTCATCTTAAAGGAGAAGGCAAATTTTTGCCAGAAGATATCCCAAAACACCTATGCACTCACATCCTTTATGCATTCACCAACGTTGAAGGGAAACGCGCGTAAGTTACAAATGATATTTGCAATGAGAAATGTAAATTAAATTTTCGGAGTTTCTTTTACAATGCACATTAAAATTATTCTAATTTTTATTGCCTGCTCAAGTGATTATAAACCTGAAACGTTAATATGCGATATTTAGCTGGTTTTGCATAAAATATTCTTCTGTAACAATTGCTATCAGCAAATGTTATTTATTTCTGTAAATTTCTGATTTTAATAATTTTTAAATCTTAGAACATTTGAATGGGACGATGAAGATACCGAATGGACGAAAGGGATATATCCACATATGATAAAAGTAAAAGAGTACGATCCAACCCTGAAAATTCTTCTTTCCTATAGCGACTATAACTCTCACTCATCAGTTTTTGCTGTTCGTTTTTTTTTTAAACTCTCAGCTATCATTTTTTTTTTTAAAGATTGACACTCAGCTAACGTATTGACTAATAATTTCAAAAGAGACTGCTCATACGTCATTTCTTAGACATCAAGATAATGCAGTGTTACCTCAGACGTTTTCCGGATTTACGTCTCATCTTTTTCTTGCTAAAATATCAACGTAAATTTGATGATATAAAAATATTTGAAGGCAATAGCAAAATCGACAAAAAACCGGAAAAATTTCATTCAGTCAACTGTAGCATTTCTCCGTAAGCATAAATTTGATGGATTCGATCTCGACTGGGAATATCCAACCGGTGTAGCAAAGGAACACGCTAAACTTCTTAAGGCGAGTGTAATTCCATATTCAACTTTTTTCAGTCCACCGGAGCACGCTCATTTCGAATTGAGCAATACTTGGTGAGCACTGTTTATAGCAATTAATTAATTAATCACTTGGTGAGCACTGTTTATAGCAATTAATTAATTAATCACTT